TAGAACCGAATTTCCACCATAGACGAGCTGCTGTATAAGTCGAAAAATAAGGATAGACAGAGTAGGAATAAAAGAGAGTGAATAAATGATGTAGTAAATAATAACAACAGTAATAATAATAATAATAATAATAATAATAATAATAATAATAATAATAATGTGAATCGTTTGATTAATAGTTGAAGCAAGAAAAGTATTTTCCATAATTATCGACAGTTCATCATATTTGTGTGCGGGCTGTGATACTGCTCGGGTGCCCAGACCGAAGCAGGTGGTTATCTTAGGGGGGCCACTCCCCGAGCCTTCGACCTGAAGGTCTGATCCACAAGGCAGTGGAGCAACTGTAGGAGGTGTAGTCCCATGGTAGCCGGTGAGCAACGACTGGTTCATACGCCATTTGTTCCCGCAGGATACTGGAGCCCATGTGCACCATAGGTTTGTGATCCGGTTAAAGCGCCGGACATTAGCTTTTCGTCCTCAGCTTTACTTACTCTGAAGTGGCTTAAACTGAGTCATGAAACGTAGGAAAATTTACGTTTTCTACGGATTGGGATATTACGAATATATCATTTATTGATAACAATCTACCCAAATTGATTAGAGATCATCAAATCAAATCTTGGTAATGATACTTTACTAACTAGGGTTTGAACCACGTTAGAATCCAAGGGGCCAGTGAAACTATTTAGATATCCGGAATGGAATGACTAGTGCGTAGTTCGACTCCGAAAACTACTAGCTGAAAGTCGTGTTTTCATCAGTAACTTGGAAATTGAGAATACTAGTCGTCTGAAAATCCCTTAGTAACTAGGACGTTGCATTCACCTGAGCGGATAGATTTCTATAAGTATTGAGGTTTGATTGTATTTTTTGGCTAAAATCTATCATACATAATGTAAAACTAAGCACAAACAGGTATCAGCTCAAGTTACAGCATCACATAAGAAAAGTGAGATAAAATTAACAATACGTATAATAGGCCATTCGGAATAATAATAGTGGTAATGGCTGTAAGAGAAACTTAATATGAAGAAGAAGGAATTAGGAGAATAAAAGTGTGAAATAGTGTTTAAACTCAAAACATGGGTGAACCCTAAGGATGAGCGCATTCGGGACATCGTGACTGATCTCAACTTGTTACCTGATATTAACTTATGAACCTTGGAGAAATAGTTTACATAAAACAACACGGCTCAAACCAAAAATTAGTGGTCTCAGATACCGACCCTATGAGGTGTTTTGAGCCCCACTTTTAGTTTGCTTCGAACCACTCTCCTATCCCATCAACAATGCTGACTGGGGTTGGTGGTGGCTAGCAAGCTTAACACCGAACTGTCTCGAATGTTGGAAGTTTATAGCCCCATGAACTGGATTGGATCTTTTTCATCAGATACCTTCAGTATCACTCAATCTGTGTTTTTTATCACATGCGATCGATCCTCCGAAGAAACTATCATTACATCCTTCTAACTTACGTACATTCTCTTCGTTTGACGGAGTAGTCTGTTGGTGATCAAGACATTTAGTTCCGACCAGTGGGTTGCGAACCCTAATCCATTTATTCCAGTCTATAAGCCGAATAGTGTAATTGAATCTGACACAAATGGTGTTCTCCAAAGCCAGTAGAGTAAGTTTGCTGTTGGTAGATGAGTTACATTGAAACAATGAACTTTTTTAGATTATTTCACAGCCACGAATTAAAATAGGACTGATGCCTAAATAGTACAATGTCTCGATGGTTGGGAGACATCTCACCAGAATAAAATCATTTGCGCAACGGAGTGTTCCTTAAGTCACGTAACTATCTAACTGAGTTGTTGCATATGCAAACAACTTTGGGAACAAGTTATACATATTACAAATCAACTAAGTTATCACAACAGAACATTTAATTATGGAAATCTAACAGAAGGCGCAAGCATGGTAAGCAACGGAGAAATCGTCATAAACATCGATAAAGTACATGGTACATAACGATACGACTTACATGAGCCATATCACAAGCAATGACACGTTCGTTTACGGAAACAAGATCAAAAGAGTACACTTCGTAATTACTGGGCAATAACTGACTTAATCTTCCATCACCACAACCAAGATCAGCTACTTTGTAGTTTGCCATTAAATTTGAACATTCTTCGATAATTTTACTCTTGACCCAGATGAGAGGATCTTGAGGCCACTGGGAAAGTTGGCGTTGATAACCTTCATGGTATATTTCGAATGATTCAGGATCCTCCTTGAAAATAGCAGCTGCTTCTTCACTTGTGCAGGTATACAACTTTTCATTCAGAAATCGAAACCTCTAACTTAGAGTGTAAGAGGAAAAACTTACATTGAAGCGTTTATCAAACAATCGAAAGTGTTCTTCTTTGAATTTTTGGAATGTTTAGATACTTTCTCGAATTTTCCAGAGTGATGTCTAGGCTTTCTCTTGGTTTTTGAAAGTGTTTTCTTGAGCTTTGATAAGTTGAACTTCGTCATATGAATGGTGAAGTGACGCCGCAATCTATTTTACCTCCAAAATCTATTAACCCTGAACTTCGTGCCGTCAAAATGGATGACTCAAATGACTTAAATTATGTACGTAGGCTGTTAAAAAGCTTTTGTTTTAACTCTTACTCTCCTAATGTGATGTTGCCTAGCCCTGGAAGGAACGAGATGAACTAGAAGATTATCGAACTTTGAAAATCGTCGAAAAGTAAGTCATGAATGTACGAAAAGAGCTTTTCGTTAATTATTTGAGACAAAATCAAAATTCCTTCAGCTGTAACACTTCCGTCATAGACGAAAATGCATAGCATTTTACTGTAATTTTGATAGCAATTTGGTGTCCTACTCTTTTAATTGACTGACTCGTCAGTTTTCGCACCTGTATTAGCTGTTCTTCATTTGCTGAGTAACCTCATATCTGTTACGTTTACGGGTCCCAATGGGTATATTCATGACTGTTGACATTCATTGCGGAAATTATTTCAGAACCACTGATGATGCTATTCAATAACTTCATGTTTTTAACTGAACTCCGTAAGGATTGTAAGGACGTTATAGTTAGCCCGATATTTAAATGTGGAGGGAAGCAGACTATGCCCAATTACTGATCTGCCAGTTTAACCATCATGATAGTTAAGTTACTTTAAAAAAGAAACCACGTTACCTCACTTCGTCACACAGAATGATGCAACCTGCCACTCCTGAGAAACAATAGTTTCGAAATAAACACTCATACTTAACAAACCTACCGAGTGCCAGAGAGGATCAAATATCAGCCCAAGGTAACGCTTTATCTGCTAGTGTGATAGCCATATACTTCAGGGAAAGGTTCAAAGATTTAAATCCTGTCCGTACGCAAATTTCTCAGGAGTGACGGCGAATAGAACATTACTTGAACAGGTGCCAGTTTTAGGTTAACGTGCTACAGGGCACGACATTGCTTACCCTACTTTGTTCTTCTGCATATCAACAAATAATCGGAACTGTCTAAGTTGTCAGTCGTGGTGTTTGGAGATGACATCAAGATCTGGAAAACAATGAGTAGTGAAGCTGATCATCTTTGCTTCCATGGGTGCAGGAAAATGAAACTTAGAAGGAACAGTAACTTATGAGTAGTGCTGGTACCCTATAATCTGAAATCTCACGCTATCTGCGAAAAAGATGCCTTTCGAGCAAACCTTGAAGTAGTAACTTTGAGGTGCGTTTTTAGCCGACTGGACTAAACAACAGTTCTACTCAATCCCATTTAGGGTATGAAAATATAATGTTTCTTCCCTCACTCCAAAAGGATAGGAATAAACTGCAAAGTATTCAGCGGCGAGCCACGAAATCAGCTGGGGCACTAAAATTCAAACCTTATGATGAGCGGATCTGATCACTGGACTTTGGGACATCAGTGATGACCTTTTAACGACCAATAAAAACTTAAACACTCCTGGATATCCTCTTAAACACATACTTAGTCTCAGTCCCGACGCAAACCTTGGGAGAAACACCGAGAACTTGGAGACACAACACGGCAGAACGTACTGTTGACATTCTACTCCTTAAGAGTAGTTAAATGTTGGAATTCACAGCCGGATGATGTAGTGCAAGCGAGTTCCTGATAGTCCTTTAAGAGGAAACGTGACATATTCCTAAGGAATAGGGGCAGTTCCTTTCCATAATTAACTTTTTTCTTTTTTATCATCAGGTATACCTAGGTTCCTATCTGGAGGAATCGACGATCTACTGCTATTAGATACGAGAGCCCATTAAGCGAAAGCTTTTCCTAATCCGTTCAGAACTACTTGAAACTATTTTAAAAGCAATTGCGTATTGCAACCCAGCATTCCTCAAAGGTTTTCTGGTGTTGTGGTCACTTCGATGAACATTCAATTGCTTTGATGCGTTGTTTCGGATTTTATATTCCACTTAAGTGAGACCACCCCTAGAGTACTGTTACCGAACAAAAAGTTCACGTTCTGTTAAGAAAACTAACATACTCGAGCGTGTTCAGGGTGTGGGAACAAAACTAATGGAAGGCCTTTCCAAATTTTCTAACGATGAGCGCCCAAAACGTCTTAAACTTTTCCTCTTATCGCATCACGAAACGCAAGGGGACCTTGTGTTGTCATTCCGCAAGTTTACTAACGATCTGAATATTTATATGTCTCATCTTTTTTATCCCTGGAGAACTAATCGTCTGTGAGGCCACAGGAAGACGGTTCAAGAATTGCAATTTCATAAATTCAATGTGGGGTTCCGTTTTTCTCATCAAGTAGTCAGTGACCTTAACGCCTTACGTTAACGGGTAGCATCAGCCTAATCAGCGGACGACTTCAGGAGAAGCTGAACATTCTCTGGAAAGCAGGCTGCAAGTATCAAAATCGGTCCACCAACCTACAAATCTTAATACTGCCGACTGAAGCTTGAACGCGGAAAGTTTGTCCGTGATGTTTACGGCGATTTATCGTTCTGCTATTAAGTCTAGGGCTACCTAGTTTTATCCTCCAAGTCCTTCAGATATGTTACGTGCAGTGTCTGTGGACTTCCCTGCCACGTGGGGATCACTAAAAGATGTAGTATATAAGCTTCTTCGGTGCGATTTTGTTGACAGGGATTTGTGGAATTCTAGTTTCGGCTATGTGTATAGCCTATGTACTTCAAGTCCGGTTTCTCATGCATCTACTTTGTATAAATCTACTACAACACTCATTAGCGAGAGGGTAGAAGAAATAGCATCAGAGTTGGAGGTCATGAGTGACTCTGATTTACTTCCTAGATATGTCAAGTTTTGGGAGTCATATCATCGCGGACTTACATATCTAGATATCCTTTATAGGTATATTTTTAAAGTCCTTAATGTTTAATGTTTACTCAGATATATGAATACGCAGCACGTAAAGAATTTAAGGCCATCAGAAGCCGATATGTGCTATGGGGCGGCACTTCCTATGGCAGATCAGCATACTATGGAAATTCTGGAGGTCGGCCTTGCTTTCTGGAGACTATATCTAATCGATTGTATGAAAAGTCGATTGTCCTCTTGCTTGATGCGCGAAGTTCTCAAGTGAGTTCCATCTTTTTATTTCTAAACTTCAAATAGCGACAGATTGGGGATTTGTGGACAACAGAATTGCATACATCCATGTTTGGCTTCCCTTTTAAGAGTTGGAGAAGTAAGGGATTTTGAAAGAGTAAGCAAAATACGACAGAAAAGATTTGCATTGTGACCCTGTTTTTTGTCTTAACTTTGTATGTTAAAGAACACGTTTAAATTTTTCGTAGCCACTCCTTTTTCTTTCACATGTGTTAACTAGGAAATGCGAAGTGTTTTGATCAGTGAATACTCTCTCTATAATAAATAACCTCGTGTTGACACAAACCTTAGCACCACACATATCGATTACTTTTGTGTCTGTTCTGTTACTATTCGTATTAATCCATGTTTACTACCATTTTTATTAGACTACTCCATTATCTTGGTCCAATGCACTAGTGGCGCTAATACTTCTGTTCTCCCATTACTTAAAAGGCTGGAATGGAAATATACAACCAAATATTTCAGAACCCTCTGATTGACGCTACGCGGTCATTTTACTCGCAATGGGCATGTCAACGGGAGTCGGAATTAGGATGTACTCAGTATGTGACTGAGGTATGTCACAATTTAAAATATTTATCGTGTTCGTGTATTTTACATTTAGAACCTTTGCAGCCAAAGTCAATAATTATTTGTTTACTTCGCGTACAGTCTTATATTGACGTATATATTCTCTCCGCACATACAATAACACGACATAACGACGTACAATAATTAACGTCATATGCTTTTCATATTTTGTTTCCATACCTTTTGATTACTAGAATCATAACTAATCACTGGATAAACCTTTAGCTCAAACATTATTAGTCACCGACTACCATGGGACTAGATCACCTGACGTTATTCCACTGCCTTGTGGGTCTAATCTTTAGTTCGAAGGCTCCGGATGTGGCCCCCTAAGAAAACCACCTGCTTCAGTTTGGGCACCCGGTCAGTATCACAGCCCACACACAAATCAAGTGACTTGTGTTGGGCATATGTATTCGATACCCCTTTGTATCAATCTTTGTGTTCAGATAAATAAATAAACGTAAGTGTATATTTACCTCAAAGTGTTTGTTCTTCGTTAAACCAATCAGTAAAGCATCATAGGATTTGAATTACATCTCTAGTGTGGCATAAATACTACATAGGTGCTCAATTCGAATCGCATAAACGAAAGTCCAATCTACAGAACTGGTTGGAAGTCATGCTTTAACCTGTGAGCCTAAAGTTTTGGGGACACATATATATGTGTATTTATGGTAACATAGTCGGTCATAATTTCTATAACATGATAAGCCCAACAGGACATATTCATCTTCAGCTAGTTTATTATCCCTCGAGAAAATTCCACATCTTAATTATTATGCTACATGCTTTAGCCGGACAATATGAGGCTCAGTAATATATTCTTTTACATAATGAAAATTACACCATCTCGCGTCTATATCGCGGTTGAGTGTTTCGTTTGGTTTTGACAAAAAAATTAATGTCTCGGATTCTATTGTTTTGTGTATAAAATTGTTCGAGGATTCATTTATTTGTTCCTCATTAGAATCATGATATTTGATAAAATACCAATAATAAGCAAGATATGTAAGTTTTATATTTTGTAAACATTTTTGTAGGCACTAGCTTTGCGGACAGAAGAACATAATCGGGCTATACAATATTATAAATGTTCACTGCTACCAATGCAAAATTTGTTTCAAGAAATAATTGTTGAACAACGTTTAAATTTCCTTAATATGAACGTTCGCTATGTCATTGCTGAAGAGGATAAATCAAGTAAGTGCGATAGTTATACCCAATTATCTCACTAATAAAACCAAGCAAATAAGTTGATTTATGTCGTGTATACTTTTTTGTGGCATTAGTCTATCTGGTATATAAATTATGTATGTATTTAGTTATGCTGAAAAGTAAATACCACATTCTTTTTGCTCTTATTACGAGTCTTATGGACTTTATGTCTCCCAAGGTTCGCTTAGCCTAACTTGGTTGTGTTGTTGTACTCGCACACTGGCGTCGATTTAAATTATTACATGAAAATTTGTGTTAGTTAATAACTGTTTCAATCCAATAAACATACAGTTTTATATCCCAGGACATGAGGTCCACCATATGTATTAGGATTAGATATACTACTTGGTTGTGTAAAATAGGGTACTTTAATTAGTTTTTTAATAAATGTTCTTAAAACACTAACATGCAACTTATCCGATTTTTTGTGTACTGTCTCCTTGACAAGTTTTCACATATATCTCCATCTTAAGTAACATCTCACGTGATGGTTTCTTTTTATTCTATATGGTTTTTTAAAATGTATCATTCTCCATTAATTTATATTCTTGTACGAAGTTGTTTGCTATATGTGGTTTGTAAAGGATAACATTACTGCAAACTAATTGATTCGTATTTCTATGATGGAAAATAGTAATGCACATTAGGTGTTGTAGTTACCAGTAATCATAATCAAGGAGTTATGTAAGGGTAATAAAGTCGATAATTAATTGCGTGATCATTCAAAATGGTAAGAAATAGAATCAAACTAATATGTAAACATCAATAAAATCATATGGAGTAAAAACTCGAAGAAGAAAAGAGGGTTTAAAAATTAATCAAGGTTATTTGATTAACATATAGTCATCACCCCAGAGAAAGGCTAATCACATTTTCCTTCTGTAAACATAGGTCAGGTCGTAAACATCCAATAGCGATTGCTTCTACAAAGTGAAGTAAGATTGATGTTGCTTCTGTTAATTATTTCAAATCCATTTCTGTTATCTAATAGTTGCTTGGCAGTTGCACTTATGAAGACTTACTGTCCTTCAGGCATAAGTTCGCAGGGACATGTTCAGAAAACATAGTAGAAGCCCCTATCTCTGTTCTTCCTATATACTTGCTACCTCAGGCATATGTAAATTCAGAGATCCGATTGGCGATGACATTGGGAGGGTATTGATCTACCTTTGAATGGTATAACAAATACAGTGTTGTACATTGAAACCAATTGAGCAGCAGGAGAGTTTATTTTTACTACCATCTTGATACTTTGATCGATTGTTTTCTTTTTTTCACATATTTCTAACAAACTACTTTCAAAGCAGACTATTTGTATTATAACGTTCCTTCGTCAGAATTTTGTAAGAGGTCAGCATTGTTTGACCGAGATTTTTACTTTGGGTTTTTCTCATAATTATATTAGGGCGAAAACTGCATTCATTATTTGTATAAACTTCAAAAGCTAAAGTAATATTTAATTAGTCTTAAATTGCTCTATATACATATTTATTTCCTTTCGATCGATTTACTTCTTCGAATACATTCATAGATTTAAGAAATCTTTTTCGGTTGCTATCTCCGAATAATCTTTGTAACGAACTGTTACATTGTTTTGGCGAATATGTTCGAACCAGTATTTTAGAAGCTATTTCCAACCTTCCAAAAGACTCTTCAGTAAGTTAAAAAAATTTTATTTCCATCGACTATTATAACTAGGGGTATACTTAAGCCTGCTATCCCTCTTGGCGCTGACAGACAGACATCAACATATAGCCCTTCACAGATATGTGTTGGTCCAAGTTGCCTTACCTCATTAGCACGATAAGATAAACATATCGAGATAAATGACAAAATAAATCAATATAGTGCAGTAATAATAATGATGAGAACGACTGAACTTTTGAAATATTGAGTTTAATGATAGGGTGGAAAGGTATGTATGAAGGGATGCTGGGATTCAAGATCGACAGGAAAATGAGGAAGAAATGCATCTGCACTATTGTGAAAGATTTTGAGCCATATAATCCAACATCTCCAGTCACTGATTTCGGCTATCTCTCTTACCTAAACCGGGTAGCTTTTATCTGGCGTATGAACCTATTGTTGGTCACCGCCTAATATAGGACTGCAACTGACGTTTCTCCACTGCCTTGTGGATCAGACCTTTAAGTCGAAGGTTCCGGGTGTGGCCCCCTAAGAGAGCTACCTGCTTCAGTCTGGGCACCCGGGCAATATAACAGCCTACACACAAATCAAGTGACTTGTGTTGGGCATATGTATTCGATGCCCCTTTGTACCAATATTTATGTGTTCAAATAAATAATTAAAATAAACAGGACGGACAGTTGTCCAGCCTACATGCTCTTTGGTTAGGAGGCAGACAATCTGTCTACGTAACAACTAGCTCAAGTTAGCAAACGCCAACTGGGCTTTCTGGGTTTGTGCCGAGATTTCGTCAGATACCAACTCACCAGGGTTAGCGTACTCAATTACTTCACTCTCTACAACTAGCCTTGATAAAAACCAGCCCTGAAACAATATTGGCATCAGCCACTGACCAGAGGTCTGCAATTAAGTGTGTATTGGGCTTTTCTTTCCAGTCGTTAGTTTAACTAATATAGTATCTAAAATACTAGCCTCGATAATTATCAGACGCTTAACTAAGACTCGTGAACTGCAAACACGAGAGAATCAAGCTGGCTTCAGACCTGGTCGTGGCTGCATCGACCATATATTCACCATTCGTCAGGTTCTAGAACATAGGCATACTTATCGGCGTCCGACAATGGTGGTCTTTCTTGACTTAAAAGCAGCATTTGACTCGGTAGACCGCGAGATTCTGTGGCAGTGTCTGTCATTGAAAGGCATACCTCAGAAGTACATAAACCTTGTGGAGGCTCTTTACTCGAACACCACCAGTCGAGTCAGAGCTTATGGCGAACTGTCATCTGCTTTTTCAACCTCATGTGGTGTCCGTCGAGGCTGTCCACTTTCTCCATTTTTGTTTAACTTCATCATAGACCTATTGATGGAAATAACATTCTCGTCTACTGAATTCTCGGGTATTGATCTCCATCCAGGAGGTCCACTTATCGACTTCGAATACGCAGATGGTATAGTCCTGTTTGGTGAAGACGCTGATAAAATGCAGAGTCTTTTGGTAGCACTAAGCAACAATGCCAGAATGTTTGGAATGCGCTTCTCTCCCTCTAAATGCAAGTTGTTGCTTCAGGACTGGTCTGCGTCAACACCTGAACTAAGGATAGGGAGTGAAGTAGTCGAACGCGTTGATAACTTCACTTATCTTGGAAGTCTGATCAGCCCTAATGGTTTGGTGTCTGACGAAATCTCAGCACCGATTCGAAAAGCTCGCTTGGCTTTTGCCAACTTACGTCACCTATGGCGAAGGCGAGATATCCGTCTATCAATAAAAGGACGAGTATACTGCGCGGCAGTCCGTTCTGTTTTAATTTACGGCAGCGAAACATGGCCATTAAGAGTAGAAGACACTCTTAAGCTACTAGTATTCGACCACAGATGCCTTAGAAATATTGCTGGCATCTGCTGGGATCACCGGGTAAGTTATGCTGAGGTTAGACACAGGGTGCGCCCTATCCGTTTCTAGAGTCTTTTCCTAGTTTACTCAGCTGGTAGTTGTTTGCCATAGTCGGTCATTGCCATTTTTTTCTAACTGGTGGGTCTGGAGTATCTTGTGTAGACATCTATTTATAAATACCTGTACATTTTGGTAATGGTTGTGGTAGTTTAGTTCCCTCTTATAGAACTGTTTTAATGTTTGCGCTAAAGATTCTAACTTTAGTATTGTGTGAAAGTCCTTTTGAATTCTAGATTTTACTTGATTGTAATAATGTCGTCTTTGTTTCCCCCATTCGTGCCTTCATATGCACATCAGGACCTTCTCAGGTATATAAAGGCTTCTACCTCTTTCAGAGCTTCCACGGTGTTTAATGTATTCGATGCTTTTTCTAAGATATACTAGTCTTCATAATCCATTCGATAGCTAGCAGAAAGGGAAATGCACGATTAAGGAGCCTTGTCTGACATCAATCTTCACTTGAAGTGCATCCATGTGCAGCTTTTGATACACGCAATTCAGTTCCTTGTAGGAGCTACGTATAAAGGTGAATTATCTTTTGAAGTACTCCATATTGTCGGAAATTTTATAAGTTTTTTCCTATTCATGCTGCTAAATACTTCTCCATGATAGAAAAATTTGTTATGTAGTGATGAGTTCCATTCCATTACTTGCTCGATAATAGTTCTCTATATCTCAAATTGATTGGTACATTATCCATTCTTATAAAAGCCACCTTATTGATCTCTTGACGTAGAACGTCTATGAGATCCTTCACTCCTTACACAAAATTATGCTGATTACTTTCCACATACTGACAATACTTTAATCCCTTTATAACCCTTACACTAAAATAGCGTTCAAATCCCCAACATTTTGTGTCAAGTACAGCTCGAATCAAACGAGCAAAGGCCCGTCATGAGGGACACGTTAGTGAACTGAGTCGAACTAAAGTTCGATTCCTCCTAAACACTAATGGGGTGCTAGTTTGTAAAGGACGAACAATAAACGGTTTTATTGTGTATACTATTGACTCTTTTTACACTAGGTATCCAGTTAGGGACTAATCGACCACACATTAAGAACACGTCGTTCACCTGACTAGTACGTATATCAATCAATCACTAAATAAACATAAAGGGTAGGAAAATATGCATGCTACTTCAGATACCTATCTGATTATCTAAAAGTCAGTCGGTTCGAAAACACTAATCAGTCACTCTCCACTTTCGCCTACGCAACACTTCTCATGAAGTTTGTTCGTAAGACTTCCCCCTTGAAAAAATCTCATTTGTTTTCGTCCCATCACTGGCCTTCGACTGACTGCCAATTTAATTCGTTTTATGTTGTCAGTTTTTTTAAAACTTGGTATTGACAGTTACTTTTCTATTTTACTTCGAAACAAAGCTAACACAGGTTCATTTTGCTGAGAGTCTCTTAAATCTCCGAAGTAGATTTTTGGAGCATATTGATGATGTTTTTGATGGGAAAACTGGTTTCCGTAATCAAATGGATAAAGCCTTTAATTTGGCTGTGAATAGTCGTGTACCTTCTTCAAGTATTCTAGCCACAACATCTAAGTGAGTATTTATACGCTACTGTATTACATCTTTCTATTATTTGCTTTTTTGATCATATAGAAATAGCTTATCAACGGTTTTTTTTTTTCAAAAATTTAAGTGCCTTTTCCAAAAACCACTATCGGTAAAGATGTAATTTATCACTGATACCATGTGATCAAAAAATCTATTTTATCAAAATCTTAGGTTATTTAGACATTTTTTTAAAAGTGAGTGGTATATTAAACTTATAGCAGCTCACGTGCAATTGAGTTTGTTCATATTTAATTCGGTTAAGCCCTTTTGTTAACTTATTTAACGGACAGAGCCATCCGTACAACAACAACTTATCTATACCATTGTACCTTTAGTATTGTTGCGCTTGTATTAATATGTATGCTTTAGCATTGCTTACTGCCAACGTATATATTCATTTTGCTAGCATCACTGTTAGTCGCTTAATTGATTCGATGATTAATTCATTTCACTATGTATACATATGTACATTTTAGTCCTGTTCATTGACTCGCCGACTTGCACGCTCACTTGGTTGCCAGCTTGCTTTTCGGCACTACTCTTTCATGCTTGGTTAACGCACCTGTAATTTTGATTATCTGTGCGTTGTGCAATAATAAACGTAATCAACACTTCGTATTCGCCTTCTGATTAATACACCGATAGGACGCTATCAATAAACGGTTATCAGAACGAAATGTGTACGAAGTTTAAGGATTATATTGAATACCGACCACCACAAACTCATTGTTGACATTAGCTTCATTATGCGACAAACAAACACGTGAATAAACCTTTAGGTTAATTTTGCCGAATTCATCCAACTATGTTTCAATGACAGGTCTGTATTTGATCATTCCATCTAATTGAAATCGAATCTTAGTGGAAAGTGTTCTAATGCTTTATGTATTGCTTTCTCAGCTATTCATATTGGGACGTAAATCATACTTATTATTGTCAGTATGAGATTGTGGATGTTGTTGAATGTACATTTAAATCACGAGCCGATCCAAACTGGAAAGCCATTAAAGACTGCGGAAAGTACTGGACATCTGTCTCATCCTAGTGCAAGTTGTGGGGTCGTAAATGTTCACTGCTAAAGAGTCCCATATTAAGATGAAACGGTCGTTCAATGCCCCCATACTTTCAATGGTTACTTAACTTCAGTCAATCCGTGATTTCAATATTGAATGTTTAATACAAAATTACAGATTGGTCATTTAAAAAACCAAACTAGTTCCCATTAATTTTATTCAACTATTCAATTCTGATCTGATTAAGATTGATTGATGACTAATGTAATGTAATACTGTATTACTCTTTGGGTGACAATGCAATTTTAAAAACTAAAATTATCCACAATTTTTTTTACAATAATCATAAATACATAAGCCAAGCGTAATAAAATGTGTTTGTTAATATAAATGGTCGACAATTGTGAAAATCGTCTTCTTTGTTTTGATTTCTACTATTTACTTTCCATAGTACAGATAATGTCTTCTCAAGTTAGTTCTTAAAATGTCATTTTCAATAGGTCATTAACAAATTATATTTTAAATAATTCATCCCTAACAAAGTAGATCTAGCGTCTTAAAGATCCATTAATAACGTGTAGTGTAAAAATTACTACTATTTACTAGTCCACAAAAATGGCATCAAACTTAAATGCTCTGATCTGCTGTTATGAATTCTCTTATTACGACCCAGCTACTCTTATTGCTTAGTTATCTTGGACACTACTTCACTCGACAAGTCCCCAAATCAGAACACGGCTAAACAGGAATGTAATTATATTTCAAATAACAAGGTCGGATGGAAGTATGGATCATGATAAGAAAAACGTACGAAGTTCTACGTTGTTACTGACTGACTGAAGAAGAATGGGAAACGTTTTTTCTACCATTAAAGCTGAATTATTCTACAACAAATGTCACTAAACAGTGACGGATTGTAGCCTATAATGCTTGTCACCTAAGGCCATATCGAGACAATCCGCACACGATGCACTAATACCAATATGAGACTGATCAATTGTAGCACTAAACATCAATAGGGAAATCTAAACACCTAATAGAAAATGAATTGAGTGTTACTAAAGCTAAAAAACTATCATACTGACTAAACAAAACATACCATATATTCCAATCGTTTTAAAAGTAAGTAGTCGATAAAGATTATGTATATTTCTTAAAAAGTAGATTGACTGTTGCTTGGTATGTAGTTCATAAATATTGGATTCTTTCATTAAGGTTACATGAATCAATGTGTTCTCAAAAGGTACAATATATCTGACAGTCATAGTATTTATCTATTGAATAAATCTTATAAATTTTAATTACTACTTGCTTCAAATGGTTTAGAATTTTTATCAATTATTGGATACATTTGCAGACAAACTAATTACAGACCATCTGAATTGTTATGTCGATACATGGATTCCTTATTACGTAAATCTGTCAAAACTATGACTGTTTCAGAAATTGAAACTAAGCTGACAGCGTCAATTGCTATTTTCAAGTATATTGATGATAAAGATCTTTTCCAAAAGGTGAGTAGTCTATTCTCCTTAATATTTTAAACTACTTAAGTAGGTTTTACTCATAGGCTATTAAAACTCAGAAATTACGGGTCAAAACTTGTTTCAAACTTTTTATCTGTCGATTTTCTCATCTGTAAGTATCATCCATATAAAAATGTACAATATCATTATCTCAAATTTATACCTTCTATGAATTTGTAGTACTTAGTGATGAATATTTATTCTTGATCTTAGTTTCATTTTATATCACATCTTACAATCTTATCTTACAGATGTACGCTAAAACTAGGCTATCTTATGAAACATCCTTACTAAAATCGAACAAAAAGAACTAAGCTAGGGCAAGATTTGTTTGAGCGTTCCGAGTTACATTCCCATAACACGGATATACACATAAAAATATCCTTCGTCAAAACTTCTAGAAGTAGCCCAGAAAAATTTTATCCAGTCAGCATTAAATAGAAGCTTCTGAAAGATTAAGGGTCATGTTTTTGATTCGGTAATTACCTATTCCGTTACCTAATTTAGTGTGCTTGCAGGAGGTTCTGGAAGCATGATTTCATATACAAATTTATTAATACCTTCGATTTTCTGCACACAAACTAACCTCCAACTCAAATTTCACGCCTTTTCTTCATTATTCAAGTTGACGTCTAGAAGTATTTTAGGAAGCGGTCAGAAAGGCAGTAATAAAAGGTTCCAGTAACGAACTTTTCAAGAGTTAATTGGAGGAAGAATATGAATATTCAAAAACAGGAAACAGCTTTACCACATGAAGTCACTGAGTATTAGTGTGTCATTTCTAGAACTTCGAATTCCCTAGTTAAGTTGAACAGAATAATTGTCATCTACTACTAAGGACCTATATATCATGACTTTGAGTTAATGGTATTGAGGCAAATGTACGCATTTATTGTTTTTCTCTAAATCTTGGGGATAGTATCACTACGTATCTCTAATATCCACGTTAATCTGTTGGTTATGAATTATATTTCTTATTATAAGTATAAGGGGACTCGTGAAGACTTTATAATTCTCAGTTTAAAATCACGAACTAGTCTTATGTAGATCATGATTAAAAACTTAGAAACACTTTACGGTTGTTTCATCCTGACATGGGACTGCTTAGCAGTGTGCATCCACGACCCCGCATCCGGAAATCAAACCCACGATGTTCGTCTCGCGCACAGACGTCTAAACTCTAGCCCACTGAACCGCTATCCAACGGTTTCAATGTCTAACTTTAACCTATTCGCGATATTATATAGCCTTCATCCATTGTTCGTGGTGAATAACTGTCTCACACTCAACACGTTTTGAACTCTGTTGGTCACGGCTTGACACTAGAACTCCGGCATTTAAATCTTGAAGCTAATCACTAGTAAGCACATGTTTACTGTTATTATAGAGGATTTGTGAAGATTGTAAAATGTTTCTCATGTTTAGTTGTTATTATCATTATCCATATCACTTTCTTCATCTTTTTGTGTTGTGCTGTTAAGTGTAGTAACATCGACTGTAATGCGTTTTTTAGAGAAACTTAATTTTTATTTATCATAGTTGTTGATAATCCTCGAAATTGTAGTGTTCTCTAGAATTGCTGAATTACTAATTTATACTGTGAATAAAGAGATTAAAATTAATCTTCCATAATATTGATAACTAATGTTCATAATTATGATTACATTTTTCTTAGTATTATCAACGTATGATGTGCAAAAGACTGGTGTTCAATTATTCTTCCATGCTTGAACTTGAAGAATCTGTGATTAATCAGCTAAAAACTGTTTGTGGATATGAATTTACTTCAAAATTTCAGCGTATGTTTAATGATGTTCAACTTAGTCCTGAGTTAAATCGGAAGTTTAATGAGTACTTACAATCAAAAGATATACGTTTTACCTTTGGTCATCATTTTCATGTTTTAACGGTAAGTAAACTCAATTTTATGTTAATAATTGTGATTAATTTTAAACAATATACCATACAATATCTTTTTCTTTAAAAAAAGATATCTTGTTAGAGTAACTTAACTGATTAAGGTTTAGAAATATGCGGGTTTTGAGCTAACAAAGCGGTAAATACGAAGTCTTGAGTTAATAGTGAAGACAATCAAAGAACCGATAAACTGAACAAATTTTCCGTTGTTGTAAAATCTAATATGTACGAACTTTGTTAGAAGTTCCATTGAAATCATGAGCCAATCAATGCCTTGTTAAAAGAATAAATTCTTAACAATCCAACCTTTATGCTTAGAATAATCTGAACACTGACTAGCCCATATGCAAACAACGCTCCGGAACAAATCCAAAAGTTGCTAATACCTTATGTGATTCCCATATAAAATCGATTGTTTTTAATTCCGAAACTTTTTTAGGATACATTTTGTTTCCAAGTCATTCTTGTTACCAGTCGCGTTGAGTGTAATATATTGTTCAGAGAGTACTAGACAGGAAAGAACACATGATGATACAATTATCTAGACTAGTATGCTCAGATATGTGCTCATCCAATTATGTTCTATTCAATAGCAAATCTGATTTTTACAATATCTGACCTACTTGCTTCTGACAGTTAGTTCAATTATTCGGGGTAATAGCACATGAAACTGGTTGCATAATGGAACCAGTTCATACAATCATCGTATATGATCATGTCCAGCTAGTTATCTCTCTACCTTTGTAATTTTACTACTTAGTAAAAAAAATGTTATTCATTGAATGTTATTTACTTCAATGCCTTACAAGTTGTTTCAATTAAGAAATGTTTTATCTCTTAGAATATTCAAAATCTTCCACGAAAATTTATATCCAACTCCCTGATATCACGTTTTTAATAGCCTCGGCCAACAAGGTTTTGTTGAGTAACGTACAAAGTGGCAACACAATTCACATTGTAACATATCGAAAACAGTACTGAGTAAACTTTTTTGTGATTATTTATCTTGATGATTGGGGAAAGAGAATTATCTGTGTTGATAAGGTGAATCCGGGGGTGGGGACGAGAAGGTATGAGTTTGTTCAGTAACTAGTGATTGCAATAATTTTATTCTATTCTGATCATATTACAGTTTTTGGATATGAAGTGTACATAAATGTTTCACTTATAAAATCTCAATTAATAATATCATATTTTCAATTAAAATTTTCACCATCGTCGGAAATCAATCACTCATGTAGTATTTCGTAACTAATAATACATTCAACAGCAGAATACAAAGAAATTAAAGCAAATTTGTGATTGTATACAACTGACTGAACACTATTTATAGTCAGTTACTTTTAAAGTGACTAAACTTCTTATTAAATCACTTGGACTGTGATTGGTCTACAGGACTGAGATGTTCCATTTAGCGTAAACATGTTTTAGCACATTCTAATGATCAGGTTTATTTTTTCGTATGAAATGAACCAATATTTCCACCTTATGTATATGTGATATAATTCCAAATTTATATTTTGTCCAATCAGTTTTGATTTGAGCAGCTTGACTATTGTCTAGAGCCATGTAAGTACATGTAGCAAATAAAGTATTCTTCAACTTCTGCCATACTAGATTAGTCCTAGTAGATCTTTATTTCATTTCCTTTTTCAGCAATGTTCGTGGCCAATTTCACTTAGTGGTGTTACTGATTTTTTACTCCCACTCGAATTGTATACATGTACTTACCATTTTGAAGAATTCTATACAGCAGCTCATCAAGGAAGAAAAATGAGATGGGCACATAGTTATTCAACAGTGGAACTCCAAGTGCTTTTCACTGATAAGACTTATCAAATACAAGCGCCTGCTATTAATGCTGCTATCCTACTATTTTTTGATCATATGGACTCAGATCGTATCAAAGTGAAAGATCTGCATTTCGGGTTACAACTAGCGGTATCTGAAGGTCGACCAACTATAAGTAGTGAAAATAACTCTACATCTAAACGAAGTGTTCCAACCACTGACTCTTCAATTACTAGTAAAATGGAAACTTGTTCACAAGATGTGTTGGATTCTTCATGTGAACTGGATCTTATTCAACGACTTTTGACACCACTAATTGAATTGAACATAATATATGTTGAAGCAACTGAAGGGCAAAGTAGTAATTCTTCGGGTAACATCGTGACAGTAAGTTATTGATAGCATAATACATCTAACCATTTATATATTTGCGTAGATGGATAGCGTTATAGTCCTAAACCGTTCGTTTACAAGCAAACGTCTAAAGCTAAGGGTGAATTTCGGCTCTCAAGGAAAAGAATCAAACCAGGTTAGTTACTTTTATAAATGTATATGCTTCCACCTAAATTTATATAATTATTAACCTGACTACAATTTAAATGGTGAAGTAAAAGATGGGTGGCCCAAACTCCTTGCATATTGATAAGAAAATTGTATTTTTATTAAACTAAGTTCTGTTACAAAATCCCTGGAACAATATATTTATGATGACGAGTAAACCAAACGAAGATTAGCTTTTGATCATGTAACCGTAACAGGAAACAGATTAGTGGTTCGACTTGTGGGAATACTAGAATGTCCAAGCGGATACTTACAAATACTTTAGGATTTTATATATCCATTAATAGACAGCGCCATATTTGTGAAGTCTATTCGTAACAATTACATGCTAAGACTAGTATTCCCTTTACACACAAGGGCTAGAAAAATAGTAGACGATAACTTAATTTTATCAACACTTCCCATACTGTTTACATCACAAACTAGACCTAGGAAACCACTTTCTTTCTAGCATGGGACTAGTAAGCAATGGCCATTCAGAACCCCGCTGAGAGTTGAACCCAGGATCTTCAGGTCTCGCGGCAAGAGCTTAAGTTTTTGATCATTGAGCTGGCATCCAACAGCTCACATGACTAACTTTAGTCAGTTAAAACACTGGTTTTGATAATAGTGATGCACTTAGTTTCCTTTCTTTCATCTCCGTCAACCAGACGTTCAACTCATTTTATTATTTTGCTTCTCTGCAGTTTCGAGATAAGTAACAAATCAATCTAATGCATTGTTTTGGTAACCTTTACGTAGTTTGTTATGAGATACATTTAATTAAGCATATGTTTGTAATACTAATTAAATCAGAAAGTGTGAGGTTCACTGAGCCTCTTAAAGCCATTGTTTCTAAGCAAATCTAAATTTGTTTTACTGTTTACTTTGCAGTCGGAAGCTGATCAGGTTGATCGTCAAGTGAACGAGGATCGGCGCTACTTCATACAAGCTGCTATTGTGCGAATTTTAAAAGCTCGAAGACAGATAAAGCATGCACAGCTTATTGAAACTATTTTACAGCAAGCATCTAACCGCTTCCAACCACCGATACCACTAATTAAGCGTTGCATTGAAGGTCTAATAGATACTGGCTATCTTGAACGAAATCCAGATGATCCTGATCAATACAGTTATCTTGCATAATTCCAAGTGCTTTATTTTTAATAAATTACATATTTATTGGGATGCTGTAAATATCAATAAATAACACACTATAAGGGATTAAATTGCTCCTGTTTTGCCAAGTTGTTCTTTTAAAATCATAATGCTGCGTCGTTGATCCTCTGGTAAGAGAGCAAGTTGTTCATCTGATAGCTGAAGAACTTGCATAATAAGTGTGACTTTTTCTTGTTCACCTTGTCCTGCTAGTAAACTATTGGGACCCATACTTGCAGCTGCCGCTGCAGCAATTGCAGGGGTAATCTGTTAAAATTATTTTAAAAAATAAGTAGAATTAACTAGAATATGTAACATGCGATTTTATGCATTTGTATATAAATCAGGTAATAATTGCATTCTCAAGAGACTATTTAAAGTAGGTGTTTACGAGAAGTCTATCTTATTGGTACTATTTAAAGGTGAAGTAGTTTAATATTATAAAGGTCATTATACATGATGGAAAGTTTTTTTAGCTTTACTTATACGTAGTTCAAAAGTGTATATGTACATGTTTATCTGGAGAAACTTGTGATTCTTACAATAAATTTAAATATACAGATAAAATAGATTAATTAGTTGTGTAACGGAAAATCACACTGAGGGGCAATCAACCGAAGTAGGATATGTTTACCACATCTCACATTAGCACAGTAAGAGAGGGAATTAACAGGATGGAAAGCACTTACGCAGTTCAAAGAGGACATTATCAAAAGATGAATGTGACGAATGATACTTAACTTAAAATTCAAAGGGAGATGGAAGAATGCATCTGTGTTGCTGACATCGAATTTTGACCATACTATTCATATCTGACCAGAGTACGACTGTTGCGCTGCCTCCAACTAAGAAGTTCACAGCCAGTGACTTGGTCGGTTGGTATCGTGTCTTGACCTGCTTACTCTTAGCTTTTCTCCAACCTGCTATCCTGACCACTATCGGACATCGAAGTAGGGAGTGTCTAGGTATATATATTGCGTGTCCTAACCGCCTCGATTGGTGAAGAATTACAACTTCGTCAAAGTACACCTACTTACTCATAATAGTAATCAGATGATACAGTGCTGAGTCAATCACGGTTGCACCCCTAAGTTGTGTTATTCATAACTTTCACTCTGATCCTGGACGACATTTCTCATGTTTAGATTTACATTGGAGTTAAGACTGGTTTTCTTTTGCCTATGCTGTTAATTTATCCTCTAACTGTCCTGAAACGATGTGCAGCAACTTTGACTGACGCACATCTGTCCCAGTTCCTATGTCGGTTATGACTTTTCTATCATCAACACAGTTCATTCCGTGAACAGGTCAAGCTGTTGAAAAGAGTACTCACCCATTAGTTAGTGAAAATCAAGAGAGTTTGTATCTGTCTTAAGATTTCAATAGCCACCAACCTACCAGGAGTGACGAGACTCTCAAGATTAGTGCTGTAGTGAGAGCTATTGATCACTCCTGATCAGCCCTGAATCAAGCTTTTTGCATCTAAAGGGGAAGAACAATATCACAAACATTTGTGTTATCACTCAGTGTTTAGAAGGCTGCTTTTTGCCAGTGTCTACCAAACAGACTTATGGTCAGTCAGGTACAACGCAGGACCAGGCACGTATATGCATCGGTCCAAGTTGCCATACCTCATCAGCACAACAAGGTGAACACCAAATTCATAGAAGCAGTTACTTCAATGCTAGTAATATATGAATCATAAAATATTGCATATAAAGATACGATACAGGGGGTGGTGGTTCGTAGGAAGGAAGATGTAAAGTAATTACAATTCAACGGTCTAAGGGAAGACAAAGAGTGTATACACTGACGGCATTATGATCGAGCCATGTCACCCAGAGTCTTCAACTACTGGTTACAATAGTCGCGCAGAGCCAACCAAGTAGTATGCATCTGCCAACATAATTAAGACCAGAAATTAATGACTTTATGGACTGATGCAACACGTTTCCAACACTTGTCAGCATTGCGCGTCGTAGTAATCGGTGGTTAGCTGTGCGTAATACGAGGCTCGAACATCTCAGTTGATGAAGATTCACCTCATCAGCTGATTGACCACCGTCCCCTAATACCCTGTTGTCTAACCTCACCGGTGATCCCAGTAGATGCGAGCAATATTTCTAAGAAATCTGTGATCAAATACTAGTAACTTACGAGTATCCTCTACTTTCAATGGCCATGTTTTACAGCCTTAAAGTAAAACAGAACGGACTGCTGCGCAGTACACTTTCCTTGAATTGATAGACGGATATCTCACCATCATAGGTCACATAATTTAGCAAAAGTGAGCTTTCGAATCCGTGCTGAGATTTCGTCAGACACCAACCCATTAGGGCTGATCAGACTTTCAAGATAAGTGAAGTTGTCGATGCGTTCGACTACGTGACCTCCAACCCTTAGTTTAAGTGTTGACGCAAGTCAGTCCTGAAGCAATAATTTTTATTTAGAGGGAGAGAAACGCAGGCTGTCTTGGAATGGTGGGTAGTTATAGAGCAGTTGAACTGCTCCTTCAAGTGTAGCGCCCATCATTCTAAACGTTTGAACGGAGAGCAAATAAGAGTGTCGTCTTTTACTGATATTGTCTCACACTTGAGTTCTTAATCCCGGTTTCTTTTATTAGTCTCAAAAGCTGTCTTGTGTTACCTAAAGCCGCTGCCTTTTCAATCTCCCGCTTTTGTTGTCCACCACTGCTCGCGATCGTTTCGTAGTCTTTTGGTTGATTTAGATCTAATTTGTTTCCGCTCGTCATCGTGTTCGGAGCCTGATGGGATAAGTTCACGAGGGTATATCAGTGCAATAGACTTAGCAAAAATCCACTGGTTATTTGTGACCCTTTGGTTCATAACACTGATAGATGTCGCTGCTGTTTCCATAGATGTTCGTATGACTTTCCAAGCAACATCTGGGTCAGCCTCGTTTTCAAAATCGCCGAAGTTTCATTTTAGTTCCTAGAATTTACTTTTGGCTTTTTCGTCGCTAAGTTCAACTCTAATTTGTCTTTTTAATGTGGCTTTTCTGTGTCCAGTGAGGCGCAAATAGATGCGTACTCCTATTAGAGCATGATCAGAGTCTAAATATGTATTCCAAAACGAGCGACAGCCTTCTAACGATCCTCTCGAACGACGACTGATGGCAATATGGTCTATTCGGTACATCTTTCGTTCGGTGCAACCCCCGCCATGTTAGATGTCTCTCCTTATGCTTAAAATTAGCGCTTAGAAATAAACGATTGCAGCAAATAGTCACCATTATTTATTTGTTGAACTGGAATACCGAAATACCCACCTAAATGTCTTTATGTTTGGTTTAAACTACCTACTTGGGCATTAGAGTCACCTGCTACAAGTACTATGTCTGAGTGTTTAGCTTTATCAAAAAGTTCAGAAAGCTTTCTGTAAAATTCATCTTTTACTTCATTCTGGCTGACGTCAGCGTAGGCAGAAATGACGAACTTGATGGAAAGTGACTACTCCGAAACACCTAACCTATTTGATGGTTTGTACATTGAAAAACTCTGACGTGTTATGCATCCTGAATCCCAGGATTTACAGTTTTTCCAACCTACTTCTGGATTGAACATATACGGAGAGGTATTCAGTATTGGAAATTAAGTGAGGACGAACTAGAAATTCTCTACAATTGTTTACGTACATAGTGCATCATCGGTACTGGTCTGTAACATTTAGTTAAGAAATTCTTACTTGAGCAGCGGGTGGTCTTTGAGGTCGGACGGCCATATTTGGAGGTCCATTGGGATTGAAATGTGGTTGTTGTCCTGACACAGCTGATGACTGTGTTTGACCCGATGGATAGTCAAAAGGCGGCTGGGATGGTGGAGCAACAGAATTAGGAGGAAACCCATTAGGTGGCATATTATTTGGATAAAACTTCTGTTGCACTAAAAATGTATGGACCAGAAATAGGAAACATGTAATGATATCCATAGATTAACACCATATAAATACATACTTGCAAAGAGCGTCAAATAACCTGTTAGTTCATGGCTTAGTAACAGAAAAGTTCTCAAAGAAAAAACTACTGCACTATAGCAAATAATCTATTCACAAAAGTTATCACACATTTAGTACATCTGGTGACATTTTAACGTTCCATCCATCCAAGCCTATTTTGTGCTAAACGATCGCATGATCTTATCTTAAAAATTAATAACTTGGTCCCACGTGGCCTTGATGTTGAGATTTTCTCACGGTTTGATAGACTGCTTTGGGTTTCGAATCTTACTTTTGAAATACACCTCGGTAAATTATCTTGTCAAATTTTACTGCATAGAGCAATAATGATAGAATATCAAGATAAAATCAGCAGTTTAACGCAGTGCTGACAACGTTTTGTGATGAAGATTTTTATGGTTGTTAATTGATTTCGACAATCTTGTGTACACTATTAGACGTATGTGGGCGGTCGACATTGATTCCCGGTAGGATATGAGAACGTGATCCTAGAGCCTAAGGGACAACGACTTGAGACCGATCTCAAAGTCTTTTTGTTTGTATTAGCTCCACCTCTTTCGAGTCTTGCCAACATAAATCGAAGGAGAGAGTTAGTGTTATTTTTAAGGCCGATGTATTCTAACCCATCCAGTTATTTGTAGGCAGCATTTCTAAAGATGCTGGGTGCCCGTGGAAAACGCCTTGTTGACACATCTTGATACAACTGACAGTACGAATGAGTCATAAGACTTTGGATTTGTCGCTTTCAATCTGGATACTATTCAACCAACCTGATTGGTATGTTATGGCCTCAAAGAACGATTAATCAGCGAATATGGTACGATTGAGTCGTCACGAAAGATAATCTCAATACCACCTCAAGATAACAACAATGGTAGTCTACTGACTACAAACGTTTACACTAGTGGGGTGGAGGCTACTCACAAGATTACTTGTAACTACTGTGTGGAGGAATGTGGGCTCAAAAACCGTCAGACAGAGAAGTCTCGGCACACCAAAGCACGAAGTAGACCG